GTGAAACCACACCTGAAGAGAGAAATTCTATATTATGAAAAAACAAACAAGAATGTTTAAAAAGAAAAGAAAAAAAAAAAAAAACTCTTGTGGAGTAGAAATATAAATGGATTGCCAGTGAACAACAAAAATAAATAAACATTCACAGAATGCCAAGACTCGAGGTTTGGAATTCCCAATCAGTCAAAGGACAAGACTGAAACCAAAACAACAGTCTGATCCAGATCAGGGGGCAGCTGGAATAGAATGGAGTGGATGCAAGTCAAGAATGAAGTAAAATGGGGCCTTCCTGGTGGCGCAAGGGGTTGAGCACTGCACTATGAAGTAATCTGCATCCTCTGCAGCACGAGTTTGATCCCCGGCCGGCCAGGAAGCAACCCACATGGTGCAGCAGACCTCTCCTGTCTCGCCCGCTGCTCCCCTCAGCAGTGTACTTCAGTCAGTCAGCCTGTTCTGTTCCCCACTCTGTCTTTGGTGAATCCTCTCACCCTCTGCACCTCTGGCCTGTACCCCAGCTTTTGTATGCATGAATAATCTTTTTTTTAAAAAAGTGAAGTAAAATGGATCCTGAAAAATTACTGAAAAGATCACCACATGTTGAGTCAGTCTGCCAGGATCAAATTCTGATACTAGCTAATTGCAGGACCTTGACAATTCCTTCACCTACCTGTGTACCAGGTTCCCACCTAAAAAACTGATAGGCTTCACTTGATCCATAGATGATTGGAAAATACCTTCCAGTTTAAGTACCTTATATAACAATGGTGTCAATGGCCTGGTGGACACCTAGACCTGGTTGTATTGAGAACTTCCCCCAGGGTCCCCATCAAAGCAACTTGGAAAACTGAAAACAGCAGGGAAAATGAAAGTAATCTATCCTCAGACTTTTCCTGGAATTTTTTTCCCCAGAATTGCATATCTTCTGTTAAATATCCACCAATACCCTGAAATATTTTATAAGCTTACTCCAAATATTAGAATGCTTTGGGGAAGTCTGAGACTTTCAAAATCAAAACAAAACCCAGTTTGAAAGAAAAGACTTACTTTCCTTAGGTTATGTACTTCTTAAAAGTAAAACAGAACTAGGTATTTTTCTCCTGAGATTTCTTCCACAGCCAAACACAAATATAACTTTGACAAATAACAGATCTGTATTATGACTAAAAAAATCATGACATAAAAAATCTAATCTTGGGAAACCACATACTCTCCCTGCATAAAATAGCAATAATGGAAACAATATCTATCATTTCTGTCATTTATGCATTTAATTGCTTTTCAAACAGCTCTAGGAAAGAACATGTGATAGACCTGCATGGGCATTTGGTGCTCTCCTTTTGGGTTAAGAAAATTAAAGAAATTCTTTCATTTTGATGCAAAAAAACAGTTATCTTTTGCTTCTGACTCCACCCAAAAACCCGAGAAATTTGCTTTATTTGTCAGTTTCTTCAGGGACTTGTCTGATACCAAGAAGTGTTTCAAAGCAAACAGCAATAATACTTGATGTCAGAAATGGACATGGAAATAAGTAAATTCCCATTTTTGAGGCTCCCAGCAACACAGTCCATGACTCACACCTACCAATAACTTCCACTCTTCTCAGGCTGGTACTCACATAGGGTGAGATAATATATTTGGTTTATTTTCCATTTTATAGAAGTTCATTGCTATTTCCCCATTACACCATTTCCTACAACTTGGTTTTCTCAGATATTGTAACTATATACCTCCCCCACCCTGATATCTCTGAGTATTAACAAAAATGTTGACCATTAGGGAAAAATACTGATATAAACAGTGGAGAACAATATTTTTCCAAAGTCTGTCCAACTATTTAATGCTTAACAACACCTATAAAGACCATGCCACTTTATAAATCAGAACCTCGGGATTGCTATACCCACAGCCCCCCAAAATCTGTTTCTTGAATGTATGGATTGGACCCAATTTCGGGAAGACAGTAGGGCACCATCGCCAAATCCATTTTCAATAAATGTAAGTTATGTTTTGATAAACTCTGTTAGCTTGTCAAATGGTAGGAAAATGTTGAAATGTGAAAAATAAATTACTGAAATGTCTCTTCTCAGAGGACCATAGGAGTCATCAAGCCTGGCTGAATAACTGATTCCCTGTCATGAGATATTTAAGAAGTCTGACACATTGTAAAATCAAATGTACACATACACACAAATACAAACAGAAATAATGACTGTGGGTCACATGGAATATCATGAACAATAATACTATATGATCACCATAGATATATACAAATACTACTACAAGCAAAAGTACTACAGCAACAAAAATTTCTAGAATTTCTAAACTTGCAAATCCCAAAGACAATGCCACATTTTTATATAACACTATATAATAAAAACCAAATGGGCACAAGATAATGGAAGATTTTGAAGTAGTTCACAAATCAAAAGCATATACCCTTTATCTTAAATATTTTGATTTTTTATTACAATAGCAACAGCTGACATTGCTGAACATAAGAGTTAGATACCATATTCAATGCCTGAAAATGAATTATCTTAATTAATCTTCATATACCCTGAGAGCTAGGTATTATTTATACCCATTTTACAGAGATTACAATTGTTCACATTCTGGGCATCTTCAAACCAGACATGACTTATTTCTCCTCCCCTCCCATGGTGCTAGCTTCTGGCCTTACCTGGGTTGACTTTTTCTATCAAGACTCAGAGAGGTTGCTGGTAACAGAAAGGTAATTAGCATTAAGCAATCACAAACATTAAAGACTTGATGTATGGTTCTTTTAAATATTTGCATTTTAATAAGGTCCTCTATGGTTTTATGTAAGTAACACAGGAATATTCCACTTATTGGAAGAGATTTTTGAGCACAGATTTCTTTAAAAAACCCCCAGGTGAATAAATGTCAGGATTTTGATGATAAGTTACAAAATCAACTTGCAAACCTCACAATATACTTGACAAGAGAAAACTGACTACAGAAATTTCTATTCAGGCTTGATGACTCCTATGGTCAAAAGCTATTATTGAAACTTAAGTCACAGGCCCCACTGTAACAGGGTGGTGGTAAAATAAAAATTAAAAGGGGGGATTGTAACAGGGTGGTCCCCAGGAAAGGGGGAGGTTCCCTGCCCCACCCAAGGGAGGGTGGAGCTGAGCAGGAAGAGGAGAAGCTGCAGAAGAGACTGAGGAAGGAAGCAGGAGGGAGCCAGGAGACCTGGAGGAGGCGCATGGAGCCTAGAGACACGTGAAGAAACTGCGCTTGTCTTTTGGTCGTGGACTGGGTGACACAGATGTGGGTGAGACCCGTGGGGAGGTGACCATGACAGCTTTTATCTTGATGTTGATTTTGCTCTTTTCCTTCCGGGCTTGTCTGGTTGTTTCTGACCCTTTTCTGCGGTTCCCCACTGGAAGATGCTTTGGACTTGTGGCAGGCTTTGGGGCCTTGTTCTGGGCCGATCCCATATGGATGGAGTTTTACCCACGAGGGGACGGGTAACTTTGGGTGCTTCATTTAGAAACTAGACTCTTTGCCTTACCTGTATTTTTTCCTAGTTTTATTAAAGTTCCTTCCCATTAAAGTCTCATATGTTTTGTGTTGATGCGGCGGATGGCAGAACCCATTTAGAAAAGGCAGGTTTGCGGGGTTTTGGGCTGCCCCTCTCCCTGTCCTATAACACCACCACTGGATAATAAACACTGACCAGGGAAGAGGATCCTGGAGAAGTTGACAGCCCTATTCATTTTTTAAATGAAGTTCTATGCATTATTCCTCATTCCTGTTATTCTGGATTAAAATGGTGAAAGTAATGTATGATTGAGCAAGACTTCTTTAAAATTTATGTGAATTTGATTTTAAATGTCTTCAAGCCAGAAGTTATGATTTTAATACAAAACAAAGCATTTTTAAGACCACTTTGACAACTGACTAGAAGAGGGTAAAGTTCTACCTACTTGGTCCTAAATGAGGTTCAAAATAAAAAAAATTAGGCAATTACTAAGCTCTATTTCTCCCCCTACACAGAGCAAAACAAACAAAACCTATTAGATTTAACTTTATAAATAGATACATACAAACACAACATACACACAATTTTTGAACTGGTAGAGAGGAGTTAATGCAGCCTTTAAAGGATGCATTGTTCCCTTGCTGTTCCCTCAGCCACTGCTGAGCATTTGACTCAAGCTGTGAAGCATTTGACAAGGCCAGCGTGACTTGGGGCAATACAGAAAAGGAGCACTGCCTTTCTATTTCACTTCCAATTCAGCCCCAGATTCCTTTTCTCTCGCTATGATTCTTTATTGCCTTCCAAATTCACACTCTTCCAGCCTGCTTCTTTTATTCATGAACATTAAAACCAAGCCATTGTTATCCTAAAACCCACTTGGGTATTCTCTAAGGGGAGCAGGAAGTGATGAAGTCTGGAGGAGGCGGCTAGCAATCACCTCTTCTCATTGTTAGCAGCTGCAATGGTTTAAGCAGACAACTTCTCCTGCAAACTCTCCTTTTGTGACAATTTCAGTAAAGGAAGGGTGACAAGGCAGCTTGCTCTTTGAAGAAAGGGGAAAGCAGTCCTGGTGAATTTCTGTTAAGAACAGCATTTCCAGAACAGGATAGGTCATCCAGATCAGAGGTCAGGACTTGGCTCCAGAAGAGCTCCCAACTGATCTCACAGAGAGCCCCAGGAAGCTAAAACCCTATTTTGCTGTCCCCAAAATGCTGACCTACAGCTGCAGTCTAAGGCACAGCACACAATCCTCTCTGAAAACCAAACACGCACTTCAAATATCATTAGGCTATTCCTTCAGCTTTTCAAAAAACAATTGTGAAACCTCTGCAACATAAATTAACTTCTTTGAAATTTAAGGAATAGCTCAATAAAGTTTATTCTGGATGAATATTGATTTTCCATCTAGTTCCTTCAATCTTTATAAGCTTTTGAGCCAGCTTTCTAGTTCTCAGATCTGAGTAAAATTACCATTCATCTAGAGCTCTCATACCATTTGCAGTCTCTTTCCGTTCTTGGCTTTGACCCTGGTTTTCTCCTTGGGCGGCTGACCCAAAACTGAAGACAACAGGCAAAAATAAATAAATAAATAAATAAATAAATAAAAATTATATGTGTAGCAGCAAAAGCACTGGAAAATGTTTCAGTGGAGTTGCATTTTAATCACAGGATCCCCCCTTGTATGCCTCCTTAACATTGCAAGATCACCTCATAGGACTCACCTCCTTATATCTATGAAGATAGGCCTCCCCAAGATATTCAAAAAAGACCACCTACAGAACAGGCCACTTTGTCATGTTGATTATTTCAAAAGGAAATCAATCAAGGCCCTTGCAATCAAAGTCTTTATCAAAGACTCATTAGAAACTTTTACCACTACTTTAACTCCCCAGACGAATGAAAACTGGGGTTCATATCCAGAGTTAGGGTTAGTACCAGATAGAGCCATTTGATCTGAATAACCATCTACACAGCAGGACATCTAATTACAGAGCATTTGCTCTTTATCAGGTAAGTCCCTTCTTGTCTTCCTGAAGCTCCTATTCCATTCTTAATCTCAAGATCTGTATTTCATTTTACCTTTGAATGGTTCAGCAAGGTAAAGAAAAGGAGAGTCAGGCTAAATTTCTCAAAGGAAGGGAAAATTTATTGCGCCCCATGCGGACCTCATGGACCCAAGGTGGGGGTCAGTGAAGCTGCTCACGTTGTCAGGGGGAAGCAGGCTTTTATAGGGTGAGGAGAGGTCAGGTGGGAAACTGGGTTACTAAGGCAGGAAGAAGTGTGTAGGGTGGGGGAGTTTCTTTGTCTGAGAAAAGATTTGTAGGGCTGGGGAGGTTCATTGTCTGAATCCTCTAGGCAGGCTTCCGCATTCCTGTTCCCAGGTGGGCTTCCTGGTGGGTTTTTGCATTCTGGCCTCCTGCATGGACCTTTCAACCTTCCTCTTTTTTTTTTAAAGATTTATTTATTTATGCATACATACAAGAGCTGGGGTGTAGGACAGAGGTGCAGGGGGGTGGTGGTGGTTAGAGGATTTACCAGAGACAGAGTGGGGAGCAGAACAGGCAGATCTATAGAAATACACTGCTGAGGGGAGCAGCGGACAAGACAGGAGAGGTCTGCTGTGCCATGTGGGTAGCTCCCTGGTCCCTGACAGAACTCGTGCTGCAGTGGCTGCCAACAGCTTCATAGTGCTGAGACTACCCCTTGCACCATCAGGGAGGCTGCATCTTCCCTTCTTTAGACCCCTCGTGTTTATGTGGTATTCGCATAAATACATCCAAAATCAAATTTGTTTTCTCACCTATTCATCTGACTTATTTTGATAATTTTATCAGTCCTTCCCAGAAGAATTCAAAGGGGTGAAGGGAAATCCTCCCTGACCTCTGTAGAGTGTTATGTTCACAAAGTAGAATCCTAATACTAAAAATGAAACAATTATGATATTAAAAGAACACAAAAAATTGTATATGAAACAAATAAAGCCAGACACAGAAAAGAACGAACTCAGTGATTTCACTTAGAGGAAGTTCATAAACGGTCAAAACTAATCTAGAACAACAGAAATCACCATCATTCTCGGGAAGATGGCATCCATTTCACTGGGGATGGAGTAAAGAAACTGAGGTGAAGGAAATGTTTTCTATCTTTATCAGGTATTGTTTACAAAAGCGTACATATGCCTCAAACCTCATCTGATTCTACACTTAAGATCTGCACATTTCTCTGAACATGCATTTTATCTCAAGGAAAGGAAAGCTGCTTTGATTTTCTTACCCTAAACCCTCTCCCTAAACATCCTCCTGATCCTCCTCTACCTTCTTTCCTCCTTCTGCCACTCTCCCTCCACTAGCTCCCCCTCCAAGCACACTAACCTTTCAATTAACCTAGCCTCTCTCTCCATCACCTTGTCTTGTACTTGAGAAAGTTAAGTTCTTTAAAATTCTATGAATATTGCCCTAGTTTTTTTTTTAATTTTTAATTTTATGTATTTTTTACATCATTTTTCATTTTTGCACAATGTATGCATTTTCATCTTTGTTATAGTCCCCATACAATTCCCACCCCCCTTGTTTTGATCCTACTCCCTTCCCCGCCCCCCTGTAGTGTGTCTCTGGTTTTAATGGGACTAACCCCTGGGCAGACCTCTGAAAGTCAGGGCAGAAGCCTTGAACTTGACTGTGACTTTGCTGAGCTATGATCTTAAGAGCATCTGCTCACCCTCAGGGAGGGAACATGACATCGGTGGCTCTGAAGGGGCAGGACACACCAGAGAAGGTAAAGTAAAGGACAACTGGAGCCTTTTCTAGCTCTGCTACACAATCTCCATGGAACCTTAACACATTTTTCCATGATTCAGCTAATCAAGTTGAATAATTATCTTCAAATGTCTTTTTTAAACTGAACTGTTGTTATCCCAGAGGCACCTTATCTTGACAACTTTTAAAATGGCCCAGGGAAAGCACTTCCAGAATCTCTTGGACCTGATAAGTTAGCTATTGGGTTAACTCAACCACTGATTCAAATTATTTCAAAGAGTTTAATGACCTAAGACCTATACTCTAGTCAGTGGGTGGTCCCTCAACAGTCACAGAATTAAGAAACATCCTGCACTGAAGATGTTGGCTCTTAGATCAAGATGAAATTCAAATATAATTTTTGAGGGGCTTCCCTGGTGGTGCAAGGGATTAAGCACAGAACTATAAAGCTATCAACAGCCTCTGCAGCACAAGTTTGATCCCCGGCCTGCCAGGGAGCTACCCACATGTTACAATTATCCTTTCATGTCTGTTTTGTCCTAGAAGACCTCTCCTGTCTCGCCCACTACTCCCCTCAGCAGTGTATTTCTGTCAATCTGCCTGTTCTGTCCCCCCACTCTGTCTCTGATGAGTCCTCTCACCCCCTACACCTCTGGCCTGTACCCCAGTTCTTGTATGCATAAATTGATCTTTAAAAAAGATTTAAAAAAGAAATTCAAACATAATGTGAGATAAATCATCTCACTGATTTCTGAAGAGTATGTTTATGGCAGACTTATAGTAACACTATAAATTACTTTATTGTTTAAAGTGCCAAGAAGCTTATGAAAGCACACATGCATGTGTCCCTCCCTCCCACTACCCATCCATCATTTATCTACCCTTCCCTCCAGGCACCAAACTATTGGCACTGGTTAACTCTGGAGAAAAGACTCATAGGAAGCCTTTACTATCTTACTCATCTCTGCATTTGTTCATTTGTTGTATGTGGTGGTTTTTTTTTTTAAATTCATATATATTTCGATAATTACAAAAATGACTTAAGATATAGTAAAAATTCTTCTAGAAAGAAACAGACATGAGAGGAAAATTATAACAGTCTATACCCACTTTCTTGATTATATTTAATAAAAAACAAACTTGTCCATCCTTATCCAAAGATAAAATCATAAAACTACTGAAATTTTTAAAAAAAACATGACACTAGGGGCCTCCCCAGGTGGTGCAAGGGGTTAAGTCTTGGCACTATGAAGCTATCCACAGCCACTGCAGCACAAGTTTGACCCTGGCCAGGAGCTAGCCACATGGCACAGCTGACCTTTCCTGTCTTGCCTGCTGCTCCCCTCAGCAGTGTATTTCAGTCACTCTGCCTGGTCTGTTCCCCACTCTGTCTCTGGTGAATCCTCCTCCCCTCACCTCTGGCCTATACCCCAGTTCTTGTATGCATAAATAAATAAATCTTTAAAAAACAACAAAAAATGACAATGGCAATAATCTGCTCTTCTCACTTGATTTCTTAGACATGTTACGTGAATGTCATGAGATGTGACTCTTTTTATAGAAGAAATCAATCTTGGTCTACAGCATTTTCTTAATATCTTGACAACCTAGTTTTATAATGTGGCCGATAACAAGGGGCAGTTGAATTGCCAGGCCTCTTCACCACTCCTTCAAAGAATAATAGATCAATGAACCATTCCTTTTTTTTTAAAAAAAGATTTATTTATTTATACAAGCCCTGGGTACAGTCAGAAGCACAGGAGGGTGAGAGAATTCACCAGAGCCAGAGCGGGGAACAGAACAGGCAGACTGATGAAATACACTGCTGAGGGGAGCAGCGGTTGGCAGGAGAGGATTGCGCACCATGTGGGACCCTCGCCGGTGGCCAGGGATTGAACCGGCACTACAGAGACTGCGGGCAGCTTCACAGCCCAGCGCTCAACTGCTGCACCACAGGGGAGGCCCTCAATGAACCATTCCTTTAAGTCTTCCTTTTTAGTATAATATTAAAATAAGAAGGTTTTATTTTTGAGTAGGGCTCAAATGAAATTCAGTGGAAATTTGGGCACTTGAGTTTGTAAGTTTAAATTTTCCATTGAATTAGGAAAACAAATTCTAATGTATATATAAGTGACTTTAGCACCACACTATGCCAAAATATGTGTGCATTTTTTTTTAAAATGCAACATGAGCAAAAACTCAAAATAATCATGAATAATTGAGAACACATTGTGTATATCGGACTACAAAAAATATTTGATCTCAAAGAGGAAAGATTTCTTGGCATAAAAAATATTACACAGGCCCAAAGCCAAACAAAAGTATTTTAGAACACATGCCCTGTGCTTGATATCTGATACAACATTTTAATAATTCGAATCCTACATTAAAGGCCCCTCCTCAGCCTCTCTTGCTCCAGAGAAGTAACACTAAGGGCCAGCCAACTTCTCCAAGGCCTGCCTGCCATGTGCCAGCGAGTGTGACACATGGAAAGTACAAGTCACAAACTCAGAGTGCTAGTCCTTGAGTAAAGTGGCCACGACACTAAAGCTGGAAACACAGAATAGAGGCAGGCTGCAAAATACAGGCCACAGGAACCGCTAAAGAAGTAGCAGTTCCCTGTGCCACAGGCTGCAAGGGAACAAAGGGAGTATTGATTCTCACTTGATTGCCACTTCTTTCTGCTCAATCAATCTTACATACCACTGCCAGATCCATCGTCCCAAAGTGCAGCTCTAATCACATTACTCTTTCACTTGAAATCTCGAGTCTCTCCCCAGTGGCCTGTTTATTTGGAAATCT